GAACCTTACTATTAATCCTTTTTGTTGAATACCAGCACCCTGAAATTCTATTGCACAACAGCTCTTCAAATCAGGCCAGGTTGCAAAGACAGAGACATGCCCAGAGGAAGTTTCAAAGCCAAGTAAAGATTGAGAATGATGATCTTTGACACAGAAGGACAAGTCCCAGGCAAGGCACTAACAGGGCTGCCCACTGGACAATACTTGAGAAACAGAAAACTGCAAAGTCGCTCCTGTGGGTTGTGTGGTAGCCATCAAGTTGGCGTGAAAGAACCACTGCTGCACAGCACTGCTGTCACCCACACTTCAGCGTGTTTCACTGGACTGCCTGGGTAGTTAGGTAGCAAATTCTGCTGTGTTTTCAGTTTCCAGAATCAAAGTTAAAAACACGCATAAAACATTCAATAGAAACATGTAGCTCCCCTTCAAAGCAAGGAAGAAATCTTCTGGTCTTTAACTGGAACAATTAGACCAAAGAATCATTCTGATAATAAATGTATTTCTAATATATTTCCTTTGGTTCAAGAGAACTGGCCAGGTTGCTGGGAGCCAGGTCTCCGGTTCCCGGGCTCATACAGCAGTCATCATGTCCTGGATTCACATTCTTTCTTTCCTCCAGTCTTCTTGAGAAAAATAGATGCAGTTGAAAAAAATCTGCAGCTCCAGGATTGAAAAGAACAGGTAGTAGTGTTAAGTATTCACTTTCAAAAAGAGATTCAAATTCCCATTTAGGGAATAAAAAAATGGAAATATTAATGACCATTAAGACTTAAGCATCAGGACAGCAGTTAACAGAGATGGACAATCGTTTATGAATCTTGCGAAGATGTAGGAATTTTGAAATTAATGCAAAATAAACACGAGTGAACCTCCTTCCAGGATCTCCGGGTCCTCAGGAGGTCTGTCTGAGGTTAATGAGCTGACAAAAGTGGTGTTAGCTACTCTGACAGACAAAGAAGCAAGTTGCTTTTGACTGCAATCCAACTTTGGTTCAGTGTCAAGTTTGAGTGACACATAAAGGGGCAGCCTCTGGCCCCAGACCTCATTTCATGCGGCCCCCACCACTGGGACCTCCAAGATGCCCCACCAGAGAGCCTCTTTCTTTGTGGCTATTAACCCCACCCCCCACCCACGCTTTCTTTCAGAACAATTTGAAGAAAGTAGCAGTTTAGTTGACAAAAGTGAATAGGTGCATTTGTGGGTGCATTTAACCCCCTGCTTCCTTTGGCACCTCCCCCTCTTGCCCACCCACACGGCTGGAAACACACTTTGAAAAAGAAAGAACGATCTTTTAGCTTTTTGAAATGCTAGTTTTAATGTATGTATGTGCTGGGGGTGGGGTGCGTTAAGATTTTGTAAATTTCTTTTGAGTTCCTGGTGGCCCCAAAATATGAATGAATGTAATTATTGCATTGTATATATAATGTGTGTGTGTGTATACATATATATATATGTATATATATATATATATGCTCTGGAACAGAGCAGTATATATACTGCTCTGTTCCAGTAACAAGAAGCCGAAAACACCAGCCTGAAGATGACGAGTGAGACCTCGTCGAAACGTCGCCTAGACACCCCCAACTTTTACACGGGAAGACACCCGAGGACACCAAAACCTGCATTCCTGTACCCGTGAAAATCTACGAAAGCATATATATATATATATATATACACAGTGGTACCTTGATTCTCAAACGCCTTGGTTCTCAAACAACTTGGAACCTAAACACTGCAAACCCGGAAGTGTTCTAGTTTGCGAACTTTTTTCGGAAGCTGAACATGTTCCGTTTTGAGTGTTATACTTCTGTTTTGAGTGTTACACTGAGATCACTGTGTTTTTGCTATTTATTTTGCGTTTTTGTTTTTGTGGCTTTTTTGTGACTGTGTGGAACCCAGTTCAGTTACTGATTGATTGTGTGACTGCAGTACATTGCTTATTGCTTTCATTTTATGAATCAATGGTCTCGTTAGATAGTAAAATTCATGCTAAATTGCTGTTTAAGGGGTTGTTTTTAAAAGTCTGGAACGGATTAATCCATTTTGCATTACTTTCTATGGGAAAGCGCGCTTTGGTTTTGGAATGCTTGGTTTGAACGGACTTCCAGAACGGATTAAGTTTGAGAACCAAGGTACCACTGTATTATTATTTAATTTCTATACCGCCCTTCCTCCCAAGATCCCAGGGCGGTCTGCAATGTGACACCCCGGAAGACATCATGTAATGTTATCATCTGTCGCAACCTTTCTCAACCTTGGGTTCCCACATGTTGTTGAACTACAACTTCCATCATCCCTAGCTAGCAAGGCCAGAACTCAGGGATGATGGGAGTTGTAGTCCAACAACATCTCAAGACCCAAGGTTGAGAAACATTTTGGGAGTCATTTTGGACTCACAGCTGTCCATGGAGGCGCAGGTTAATTCTGTGTCCAGGGCGGCTGTCTACCAGCTCCATCTGATACACAGGCTGAGACCCTCCCTGCCTGCGGACTGTCTGGCCAGAGTGGTGCATGCTCTGGTTATCTCCCGCTTGGGCTACTGCAATGCGTTCTACGTGGGGCTACCTTTGAAGGTGACCTGGAAACTGCAATTAATCCAGAATGCGGCAGCCAGACTGGGGACTGGGAGTGGCCACCGGGACCACATAACACCGCTCTTGAAAGACCTACATTGGCTCCCAGTCCGTTTCCGAGCACAATTCAAAGTGCTGGTGCTGACCTTGAAAGCCCTAAAAGGCCTCGGTCCTGTATACCTGAAGGAGCGTCTCCACCCCCATCGTTCTGCCCGGACACTGAGGTCCAGCACCGAGGGCCTTCTGGCGGTTCCCTCATTGCGAGAAGCCAGGTTACAGGGACCCAGGCAGAGGGCCTTCTCAGTAGTGGCACCCGCCCTGTGGAACGCCCTCCCTTCAGATGTGAAGGAAATAAGCAGCTATCTTATCTTTAAAAGACATCTGAAGGCAGCCCTGTTTAGGGAAGTTTTTAATACTTAATGCTGTATTGTTTTTAACACTTGATTGGGAGCCGCCCAGAGTGACTGGGGAAACTTAGCCAGATGGGAGGGTAATAATAATAATAATAATAATAATAATAATAATAATAATAATAATAATATTTTATTTCTATCCCGCCCTCCCCAGCCGAAGCCGGGCCCAGAGCGGCTAACAACAGTAAAAGTAACACAGTTTACATAAATTCACAATCAATTAATAGAAATACATTCAAAAATCAATTCATTCTAAAATCAGTTCAGAGTCAAATTAATGGCAACCATTGGGCTAGAGTTCTATGAGGATTACCATGATCTCTGACCCCAGTTTACATAGCACCCTGCTTCCCAACCACACAGCTCTTTTCTTCTGATTTGTGATAACATTTTCTTGTTTTCTTAAGTACAAAAATTGCTTTGGGATTTTGTTTTTACACTTTTCTCTCTCTTGCAATTGTTATATACAGTGGTGCCTCGCAAGATGAAATTAATTCGTTCTGCAAGTCTCTTCGTCTTGCGAGTTTTTCGTCTTGCGATGCACGGTTTCCCATAGGAATGCATTGAAAATCAATTAATGCGTTCCTAGGGAAACCGCCTTCAGACCAGGTCCGGGGACAGTCTGTCCCCCGACCTCTTCTGAAGGCGGGGGGGGGGGGACAAGGGCTTTTCTTCCCACCCCCAGCATTTTAAAAAACCCCGGGACAGCGGAGGACTTCTCCGCTGTCCGGGGCAATCTTAAAATGCTGGCGGGCGGCATTTTAAAATCGCCCAGGACAGCGGAGGACTTCTCCGCTGTCTGGGGCGATTTAAAAGCCCCTGGGAAGGCAGGCAGGGGGGACAAAGATTTTCGCCCCCCGCCCGCCTTCAGAAGAGGTCCTGGACCTCTTCTGAAGGCGGGCGGGGGCGAAAGTCTTTGCTCCCCCTGCCTGCCTTCCCGGGAGAGCGGAGAAAGGCAGCGCGTTTCTCCGCTGTCCCGGATGGCTTTTGAAGGCAGGCAGGGGGGAGCAAAGACTTTCGCCCCCCGCCCGCCTTCAGAAGAGGTCCTGGACCTCTTCTGAAGGCGGGCGGGGGGCGAAAGTCTTTGCTTCTCCCCCCCCTTCAAAAGCTGTCCTGGACAGGCTTCGCGGACCTCTCCGCAAGCAGCGGGAGCGCTCCCGCTGCTTGCGGAGAGTTGCCAGCATGCCGAAGCCTGCGCACGCTGAGATCAGCGCGCCCAGGCTTCGCGCCCCCCCCGCCCGGCATCGGAGCTTGGTTCCGAAGCCGGGTGGCGGGAGGAGGTCCGAGGACAGTGGGGAAGACGCGCTGCGCTTCCCCGCTGTCCCGGAGATTTCCCTATGGGCTTTCGTCTTGCGAAGCAAGCCCATAGGGAAATTCGTTTTGCGAAGCGCCTCCAAAACGGAAAACCCTTTCGTCTAGCGCGTTTTCCGTCTTGCGAGGCGTTCGTCTTGCGGGGCACCACTGTATTGGAAATCAATACAACTACTTATTAAAGAAGAAGAATTGCTTTGTTGAAGGAATCCTACAACTCGGGTAGACCGATATTCTGTGTTTTTTAAAAATAAAAAATTCAGCCTTTATTTTGAGAACAAACTTACGAAAAAAGAAATAATTTTTATTATTTTTTTATTATAAACACTGATCTCTCGGTTCCATTTCCCGGTCTTTCCCCCCTCGCCCGAGGCGACCCGAAGCGCATCGCCTCTTACATAAAATGCAACGTCACGCGCTAAGAATCGCTGAGTCATCCTAACGGGACCGAGGCTTCTTCTGCCCAGCCAGGAGGGGCGGGGCAGGCCTCGGTCCCAGACAGCCATTGGCTCGCCCCGGAGGGGCAGCCGCCCAATCGCCGTTCCCCTTCGGGGCCTGGGCGGAGCCATCTCCGACCCACCTCCGCCCGCCCGCAGGGGAGAAAGGCAGCGCATGCGCAGGCCAGCTACCTCCCCCCGCGACCGTTGACACCGCCCGTTTTTCCCGGCATGCCGCGGGGCCGCCTTCCCTTGTGACATGCGCGGTGGAGAGGGCCAAGATGGCGGCTCCCGGCGGCTTCCTATTCTCCTCAGCGCCGCCGCCGCCTGGCCGCCGCCTCCTCCTCCTCTTCCTCGCGCTCCTTTTCCTGGCGGCGGGGCCCGCGCGGGCGGGAAGGAGCCGAGTGAGGGCGCTGAGCGACGGGTCGTGGAGGGACCTCCTGCAGGGAGAGTGGATGGTCGAGTTGTGAGTCGGGGGGGGGGAGGCTGAGGGGGAAGGGGCGCTCTGTGCATGCTCGGGGGCCCCCTCGACGCGGGGAAAGAGGAACGCCCTTCTCATATCCCTATTATTATTATTGTTAATTGATTAAACAAATCTTCCTTGCCAAATTATTTTCATTAGGTTTCAAAAAAATATATTTATTTATTATTATTATTATAATATATATATATATATACACACACACACACACATTTTTTCCAATTTTTATGGTAAATTTTTATTACTAAGAGTATATAAATATTATATATTTTTTTTGTGGGGGAGGAAGGGAAAGGAGAATGTTAGCCGCTTTGAGACTCCTTAAAGGGAGTGAAAGGCGGGATATCAAATCCAAACTCTTCTTTAGAGCCTATCGACTTCCTTCCCTCCTGCCTCATGGCTATCAAAATTCACCTTTATATCATTGCATTTTGCACGTTTTCCAATTCTAATTGCACTCATTACAAAGTTACTCAAAATTTAAATAAATACAGAAAGGCACTTGAAAGATTATTGCAAGCAATTGACATCCCTAGCAGGGTTGTCTGAAGACTTGTAACAACAACAACAACAACAACAACATAATAATAATAATAATAATAATAATAATAATAATAATTCTACCTTTCTGTATTTATTTGCAAATTTTTTTATTTGGCTTTTCAGATTAAAAGTTTAGAGTCACATATCCAACATAGAAACGAGATTCCAAAGACTCTCCTGGACTTCCCTCCTCCTCCCCTTTGTGGGTCCTTTGTTAAGCATTTCCCCTTGTATCTTTTACGATAATCCAGATCTTTTCTCTCTCCATTGCGTCCAAAATTCAGCATTAAACCACAAGTGTTATTCCAATCCTACTAACGATAGTTTTCCGAATTTTTAACAAGCCAAATTACAACAGATCTGATACATCCCCCCCCCGTTAAGTTGACTTCCTTCCTGCTCTCCACCGTCGTGTTGTGCTTCTTCTGTCCTATTTATAAAGTTCCCACACGGCTCTTCATCCAAGTTTCGAGCATGGAAACACAGGAAGGGATACTAGCAGGAAACACTAATCCCTAAAGGAGAGAGAGGAGCTTGTCTATGACTAGATGGCGCGTCCCTCTTAGGGGCTCTTTGGAAGCACCTTCGCTTCTCTTTCTGAAGTACAGCTGCACCATGAGGAGGCGGAAAAAACCCTGCAAACTCTTAATATGGTAGTTGACACGCAACAAGCACACGAACCACTTCCTCAAATGCGCAAAGACTGCAAAAGTTGCAAAGAGTTTTCAGCGAGTTACCAAAACAGCTTTGCCCTTTTTAAAATCTGCACTTGCCCAGCAGTTACTTTGGTTGATTTTATGATGTTTTTATTTATTTATATATCTGCTTGATTTCTATAGCTCCCTTCATCTAAGGAGCGCAGGGTGGTTTGCAGTATGAAAGCATAAAAATACGTAACATGTTAACAAGCAGAGCAATACCCCCCTCTCCAGGGTTTAAAAGGCCACAAATTGTTTAAGTAGCTGAAGACCGGGGAGGAGGAGAATGTTTTTGCCTTGTCACCTGAAGGTCATCAGGTGATTTACATTAAAGAAAAATACATAAGCAAACATAGTGACATAGGAGGGGGAACTGACAGCCTGCTGTTGCACAACTTAGAGCATTTTTGAACAACTTTGTTCTTGCTGCTAGAGCCAGATGTGAACCAAGGAAACACCACCCTCCCCCCTTACTTTGCTATATGCACACTTTCACTGTTCATTACCCTTAATTATAAAGCCAGGCTTCAGTGATATAATCAGCATATTAAAAAATTGTCCAGTAGCACCTTAGAGACCAACTGAGAAATCTCTATGTGGGACAAGAAAGCTGCATAATCATTAGCAGGGCAAAAGAGGGATTTGTGTTTTCTCGTGCAGTAGTTGCTTACATAAGTTTTCTTTTCTAGTTATGCTCCTTGGTGCCCTGCCTGTCAGAACTTACAGCCAGAATGGGAGAGCTTTGCTGAATGGGGGGAGGATCTCGAAATTAACATTGCAAAAGTGGATGTGACAGAGCAGCCAGGTAAGGTTCTGTCATAGGGGAAATAGTTTATATGTTTGTAATTCATTCTCTTATTAAAGCATTCACCTTGTAGGTGAAAAGGAATTGCACACAGGTGAGTGAGGTGCTCTGACCTCCTCTGTCTCAACACAGAAACCAAATCCATCCTCTGTGCCGCCACAGTAATACAATGAACTTCTGGGGGCAGGATAATAATAATAATAATAATAATAATAATTTTATTATTTATACCCTGCCCATCTGGCTGGGTTTCCCCAACCACTCTGGGCTTACAGAATAAAGCATAGTAAAACATCAAGCATTAAAAACTTCCCGAAACAGGGCTGCCTTTAGATGTCTTCTAAAAGTTCAGTAGTTCTTTATCTCCTTGACATCTGAAGGGAGACCCCTGCACGTTACACAGGACTTCAAGGTCCCCAGTCCATGAGAGGCTAGTTAGTAACTTTTGAGAGTTCATTTTACAAGGATGCTCTAACTTGTTCAGATACAGTAGGTTGCATTAGAGCAGATGCATGTACCACACATCTGTGTTGATTAGGCTAAATCAGGCATAGGCAAACTCCGGCCCTCCAGATGTTTGGGACTACAATTCCCATCATCCCTGACCACTGATCCTGTTAGCTAGGGATGATGGGAATTGTAGTCCCAAACCTCTGGAGGGCCAGAATTTGCCTATGTCTGGGCTAAGTAGCAAGACATTTGCAAAGGAGAGCATGCGTAAAACTGAAGTAATTATAGTTAAATGGCATGCTCCATAAATATTAACATGGATAACACCGTACACCACCTTTAAAAAATATTTTTAAAATTAATTTTCACAATTAAACATCATCATCACATCATCATAAAAGAATAAACCACACAAAATAAAAAATAGAAAATAAAACATTTTCACACCATAATAAATTCATATTTTGGGATTTCTTAGATCCCTCGACTTCCCTCCACTCCCTCCCCTGGTTCTTTTGTGTTATCTTAATTTATACATGTCAATGATTTCCTTACCTTTAATTGTTTCTGAATTTAAACATTCTCTTTAATATTACAAGTGTTTTTTAAAAACCTGCTACTGTATTAATTAACAGTACACCACCTTAATTATGTCCTGCTAGCATTCATGCGTGTGTGTTGCTGCTGCAAAAATTTTCAAGTCACTCTTCAAGACGAATAGCTTTTGTAGAGCAAGGCCTGTCCGTTTGGGGTCCGAGTATTGATCATATGTTACGTGGGGTTGGAGAGTTGATTGCTACATGAGTATCTTATGTGAGTTGTAGAAGGCTTAAGAGTACAGAGTTCAAGGGTTACACAAAATATGTGCAATTTGGGAAAATAAGTCTTAACAAGCCTTTAGCAGCAATACATATTGATAGCATGGAAAAAACCCTTACTTCTAACAAACCTTTAGCTCTGATTTTCCTTCTGGGTCTTTCTGCAGGACTGAGTGGACGGTTTATCATAACAGCACTCCCCACCATCTACCAGTAAGTACTCTAATGAAATGTGACAGGTTTTTTTTATTGGGGGTGGTGGGAGTCCTTAGTTCTTCATTCCTCACCCCCAGTTCTAATTGGAACAATAATACTGGACTTCAGCTCTCTCTGTCTTCTTTGGACAAAGGTGGGGCGGGGCGGGGGGGCAGGAGAGGATGCCAGAATCATTGGGGAATAAAGCTGACAATGAGATCTTGTGTCTGTACCAACGCTCAGCCTTAGTATACGAGTCCAGCAGTCTTTTTGAGTTACTGACAGGACTTTGAGTTACTGACAGTCTTTTTGAGTTACTGACAGGACTCTTCTTTTGAGCAGCTGTAAAGATGGTGAATTCAGACGATACCAGGGTCCACGGACTAAAACGGATTTCATCAATTTCATCAGTGACCAGGAGTGGAAGTCCACTGAGCCCATTTCTTCATGGTTTGGTCCATCTTCCTTCCTGTAAGTGACAATTAAAGTCTCTTTCTCCTCCCTAATAGGCTTCTGCAAAAATAAATAAATGCAAATGAATGAATTACCTATTAAGATCATTTTTTTTTAAAAAAAATATTCAGTCACCTTGAAAATTGCTTGAGGGTCTTGGTAGACCACTTAATAAACTTACTTATTTCAGCACTGATAGTGTGGTCAAACCAGTATCACCTTGTGGAAATTGCAGGTCAGCCTAGGCCAGGCTGCTTAAAGAGGCTTCTTTAAGCTGCTAACTTTTCCAGCAAAAATTGCCCTTCTCCATAACCATATTATGAAAATCATGTGCTCTAGACTAGGGCCTTTTTCACAGCCTTGTTAATCAATCTGTTCTTGGTCAAAAACCTCCTTTAACTCTGTGTGAGGAGAAGAAAGATGGATGGTGGAGCCAAGGAAACCATGTCCAGAGGAGGTCACAGAATGTTAAAAAGTGAATTTTGAGACGAGAAGGATGTTGCAGTTGTGCCACACGCACACTTTCTCTAGCGAACACCCGGCGTCAGAATCCCAAGTACAGTGGTGCCTCGCAAGACGAAAAGAATCCGTTCAGCGAGTCTCTTCGTCTTGCGGTTTTTTCGTCTTGCAAAGCAAGCCCATTAGCGGATTAGCGCTATTAGCGGCTTAGCGGATCAGCTGTTAAGTGGCATAGCGGATCAGCTGTTAAGCGGCTTAGCGGATCAGCTGTTAAGCGGTTTAGCGGATCAGCTGATAAGCGGCTTAGCGGCTTGGGAAAAAGGGGGGGAAAGGAAAAAAACCTGCAGGAACTCGCAAGACATTTTCGTCTTGCAAAGCAAGCCCATAGGAAATTCGTTTTGCGAAGCACCTCCAAAACGGAAAACCCTTTCGTCTAGCGGGTTTTCCGTCTTGCGAGGCATTCGTCTTGCGGGGCACCACTGTATGGCAAAGAAAACATCAGGCGTTCAGAACAAAGGTTTCATTAGTGCCCCAACGGGAGTGAACAGCACTTGGTGTTTTGTTGCCTTCTTTGATTGCAGAAAAGGCCTTTTGTTTTATCTCTTCTGCTTTTTTTTTTTGGCAGGATGAGCAGCATGTCTGCCTTGTTCCAGCTATCTATGTGGATCAGGGTATGTGTGTGTTTCAAATCTCCCTTTGAGCCAGAGACACTTGAGTGTCTGCCTTGGTGACCCAGGGGTTGCCGGTATAGCTCCTGTGGGCACAGCTGCCACCTCGAGGAGGTCTTCCCCTGCCGCCCATCAAGTCTCTGGGCCCTCCTCCCCTTTTACTGCCCCTTGCTTCTGAACAGGTGAGGGAGGTTATCCTTTCTTTCGTAGAAAAGTGCATAGACCTGAAGGAGGAAGTTGGAAGAGACACACTCTTTCCCACTTCCTCATTCACCTCTCTGTGCTCCAGAGTAGTTCTGCTGGGTCTGTCTTATACCCAGGTCCCTTGGAAAAGTGCAGTTTCTATCTTTCTGGGGGTTTTGTGGGTGGGTTGGGGGATATGTGATCAGAGGGGGTGGCATTAGCTCAAAAATTCACACACACCAAAGGTTTGGTGACCCTATGCCCTAACCGGCTTCCTTCTCTTGTAGAACTGCCACAACTATTTCACAGAAAACCTCGGCATCCCAGCCTGGGGGTCCTATGCCATTTTTGCATTTGCAACGTTGTTTTCAGGACTCCTTTTGGGGCTTGTAAGTAGATGTTTTCGTATGCCTTGGAAACTTTGAAGGTCACATCTCACATCACACGAAGCAATAATACAGTGTTAAAACAAGGAATTTTTCTTTTCCAGATAATGGTATTTCTGGCAGACTGTATTTGCCCTTCCAAAAAGCACAGACCGTTGCAGCACCCATATCAAAGTAAGCCCTATTGCGTGTCTTGAGTTGCAAACTGAGGTTGGACTGCAACTCCTGTCATTCCTAAGGATGATGCGAGTTGTAGTCCCAGAACATCTGGGGATCCAAGCTGAAGAACACCAGCAGAGAGCAAGGACCCAAAGCTGATGTTCCATAGCACAGGAAATACTGTATCCCAGGTAGAAACAGGTAGAAGAAGCAAACAGGACAACATGGAAGCAGGAGACCAAGGGGCAAAGGCAGTGGCTGACCGCATAGCCAAAAGGGATAGCAACTAGGGGTGCCCCCTGAGCCAGTCAGAAGGCTTAGAGAAGCCAGAAGCTTCTGGACTCAGGCTTACTCACATTCTCAGAGCTGAAGCCAATTCTCATTTGGCAGGCCCAGTCTCCCGTCTTGGAGCACAGTAGCACAAGTTGACAAAGGTGCTCCCAACTCATGAGCTCATCCCAGTTACTGAAAAATAACATTTCAGAGGTCTAAGCGAAAGAACCTTTTTCTTGACAGTGGCCTTACTCAAACACACCCCATGCTGCAAATATACAGCATGAAAATCATAGTTACAAAATGGATGTAATAATTGCCACTGGATAATGGCTTGGCTCCTTAGTTGCCCTGTGCAGTGGCCAGGGCTGAAATCAGTAGGTGGACATTTGAGGCAAGCAAATTTTGGCTGAGCTGTTTAGAGAAACTGCCTCATAGTTTAGAGCTGTGGGACAAACAGTGGAAGATCAGAGAGAGCCTCAGGAGCTTGTGGGCTGCCCTTCCATGGAAGGAGGTGGACATTCATTTGTCTGGGACACTAGTTTCACTCTGCCAAGGCTTGTAGAATGATTTCAAAACTTATAAAGCGTTCCAAAAACGAAAAGAAAACTACCTCAGTGCTTCTTTTTATGTCTGTGATTAATTTTAGTGCATTTTGCTTAAAGTTGCTGGTAAAAAGACAGGTCCATTAATGAAACAGAAATTCCTGGTGTTTGTTTGTGGTTTTGAAAAATGGAAGTCCCAGTACTTGGGCAAAGCTCCAAGCTTGGATCCCCCGTAGGCCTGAGCAGGTCATCTTTGCCCAGAGGTAAAAATATTTTTCCTTTTCAGAAAAGCCACCGGAGTCTACTCGGCTCTTGCCAAAAGCGGGTGAAGGACTGGAGGAAGATGATCTTTCCGATGCCGAGCTGGAGCCCAGAGAACCACCGAATGCACTGAGGCAGCGTACTGCAAACCCTGTCGCCCGCGCTGGAGCAGAGCAGTCGTAGCTACTAATTCCAGCTGGCTCCCTTTCTGGATTTCCTGAGTTACTACTTGATATTCAAAGGGGAAGGAGAGGGAGTCCTCCTTTTCCTCTCCTTCAAGAGAACAGACATGGAACAGTTTGAAGTGCGGGCGGGGGGGGGGTGCGCAACCACATTTTGATTTAGCCAGTCTTTGATAAAGTTTGATATGTGAAGCAATGGAGGTGGCAGCCTTGGGCTGGGCCGGGCAGTGCAGAAGGGCAAGTTACACACACGGCTTTCTGTCGGTATCCACATGAGTTGTTTCTGATGGCCAGCCTGCAGTGCTGGAGGAAGTTTCCCTGAACTGTCCCTGATGAGGCTTCTCTGGGTACGCATTCCTTCCTCGTCATGCAGAGGCAGTCCGGGAAGAGGAGTCTTCAGACATGCCTTCTGCTCTCCTCCAGTGCTAACAAGAGGGTACTCAAAGTAGCTCCGCTCTTCAGAATGCAAAAAAAAGGAATCTGCAGCTGTGTCTGAAACAGGCCTCTGAAATAAGCAGGGAGATTCGAAGGATGTAGCTAATTTCGCATGCTCAGGAAGGGGCCTGCGTCTCTTGGCCAGCTGCCCCCAGCACAACCACCGAGGGGTGCTGCCAAAGCCGTTGGTCTATGACCTGGGTGGGGTCTGCTGTCCAACCGGGAAGGAGCCCCAAACCCTCTGGGCACCCCAAATACAGTCCTTTGACCCCCAGCCTAACGTAACGTTGGTTGGCTTGGCTTGTTAGTTTTGGCCTCGGGGTATTGTGTCTTCCCCCCTTTTATGTGGCAGCCCCCCCACCCCACCCCCTTGTTCCTCCTGCTTTTATAACCCATGAAGGAGTTGGGAGGTGCCGTGTCCCAAACTTTGTTGACTTGGAGGCTAAAGGATGCGAATCGTATGCAAGGGGGAAAGGCAGGTTGTGAAGTCAGCTGTTCGGTCACCTTCTAACTTGTTCTTGCAAACTAATACTTGTAAGTCGATTGCAAAATTAAGGATAAGAACTCTGGCAGGTTTTTCTGAGGGCTTGGCTCAGTCCTTGTTTTCTCTGCCCAGGTGCCTTTTTTCTATCTCTATCCTCAGCTGAAAGTTTATTACTCCTCACAGTATTCTAGAAGAGGCTTTGACTCTTTGAGCAGCTTCCTGTGGCAGACTACAAAGGCCAGTGACACTGTGAATGCAGCTAGCATTTCTATGCCTCTCTCTTCCTCTGCGGCCACTTGCTCTTTTTCTACGGCGCACACCATTCTTCTCTTGAAGGTTTTCCACCTTGGGGCCAACTTGCTTTCTGCCCTTTTAAGTACAGCCTGAGTGTATTTACTTCCTCGTTGTTTCCTCACAGAGCAGACTAAGGGCATTTCATGCTCAAGATTAGGCCGCTTTTAGACATCCCAGGCAGTTTTTCCTCATAGGTGTTTCGTTTTATCTAGATGAACACATGAAAGCTCTGTGATCATCTTTAGTCGGCTTCTAAAAAAACCTGGGGCATCTCTCCCAAATCTTAGGGTGCATGGTGCTTGTAAAGGACCAACGATGCATTTGGAAAACACTGAGACCGGCTTACAGCAGCTCTGTTTAGCCAGGTCCTGCCTGTCTCTGAAAGGGGCTTGTCATTGCCTCCAACTCCCTTTAGAGCCTTGAACCCAGCACTTGGTCACGGCCTGATCTAAGGTGGGCTGCAACCTCAGTACCATTCAGATATATGGTGAAATGATTGAGAGCTTGGGTTTCCAAATCTGTGATTTGGCTGAAGGTGGTCAGTCCCAGGTCAGCCAAGGCTGGTTCTTTAGAGTAATGCTGTTTTTAAACTTTTTAAAGCTTTCACTAAGTTCCAATGCAAAGTGGGCCTTGGACTGCCCCACTTCCTAGTTGTCTGCCTTGGGTCTCCGACTTCCTGCCGTGTTGAAGAAGCCCTCTGCCCCACTGTTGCTGTTTTCCTTTTGCGTTGTGTTTTCATGCATAAAAAATATTGGAGGGGTGGGGGGAGATAAGGTTTTCAGAGTCAGTTCCTGGTCAGTAAGCAACCCTCTTCCCCGCTCCTGTATCCCCTGAGGTATCCAGCCTTGGCCAACCTGGGGCCTTCCGGGTGTTCTGAACTCCCATCATCCCCCGCCAGCCCTGCTTTGATGGCAGGGGATGATAAGAGTCCAAAACACTGAGGTGGGCCCCAGGTGGGCCAAGGCTGCCTTTATGTAGCAGTTGGGGGGGGCAGATTGAGGCATCGGCAGGTGTGTGCCCATGCGTGCTTCTCCTTTGCCACAGAAGACGGCTCAGTTGCATCCCATAACATTTCTCTGCCTGAACCACAACTTTTGAAGCCCTAGTTGGTGTGGGAGATTTTTTAAAAATATATATTTTAAACTGTTCGCACATGGCCCCCGAGAGGGGAAGCGCAAAGAAGGGGGTCATTCCATTTGCAGCCTGCCGTTTGCTTGAGGAAGGACATTCCTGGTTTCTGACTTAGACAAACAGTGCTCCTTGGGTGGGACAGTTGCACCCGCCTCCTTTCCCCCCTGGTGCAGTCGTGGCCTGAATGCATTCCAGCTCTGAAGAACGAGGGAGCCTTTCCTGACGCGACCAGGCAGCACTCCGAAAGGCAACTTGCAGAAACTAGGTTTAGGTCAGAGTTACTGCACAAGTGACTTGTGACACGAAAGACTAGTTCATGACCCAAGGCGCAGTAACTGAAGCATGTTTGCTGTTCTCAGTTGTTGAGTGAATGTTGTCTTTGCAGTTGACTAGATGCCTCGGTCCTACCTGGGAAATCGTTTCCAAGTAATAAAATTACAGACATGTAGGAAACTTGTAACTGTACCTTGTGGTCTTTGGGGGTGGCTGCCAGAGTCTCCCTCCGAGGCGTCTCAAATGAACTGGAACAGCTCTAAAATGGTGGCTGCCAGAGTCTCCCCCTGCCCCAAAACCTAATAATTAACAGTAGACACTTAACCAACATTCCCTGTCCACACTTCCTTAGGACAGCGGGCAATCTAGTCAATTGAAATAAAGCCTGCTGCTCAGTTGAACACTGTTAGAACACAGCTGTTTCTCCATCACGCCCCATCTTGGAGGCTCTGTTCTGATCACAGACTTCTTGCCCAGAGTTTCGTTTTACAGAGGTGACCGCGTGTCTCTCTACTGGTGAGATCACTGTTGGTTGTTTGTATGGCATTTATACTTTCCCTCCAAGAGCTCAAGGTGGCGTACATGGTTCTCCCCATTTTATTCCCACAGCAACCCTGGGAGTGAGCTCCATGTCTGAGTGGGGATTGGAACCCTGGTCTCTATCAGGTCCTAGTCTGACACTCTCTTAACTGCTGCACCACTCAGTTTTGCATGCATGTGTTTGTTTTTGCACAGCAGAGGGAACGGGTGGCGCTGTGCTCTAAACCACTGAGCCTCTTGGGCTTGCTGACAGGAAAGTCAGCTTTTTGAATCCACATGACAGGGTGAGCTCCCTGTAGCTCTGTCCCAGCTTCTGCCAGCCTAGCAGTTTAAAAGCCCACCAGTGTGACTAGATAAATAGGTACCACTGCAGCAGGAAATTAATCAGCATTTCCGTGCACTCCGGCAATCGTCACAGTGTCCCATTGCTGCGGAAGCTGTTTAGTCCTGCTGGCGACATGACCCGGAAAAGCTGTCTGTGGACAAACTCCGGTTCCCTGAGCCCGAAGGGCAAGTTGAGCGCTGCACCCCATAGTTGAATTAGACCGGATTTAACAATCCAGGGGTCCATTACCTTTTTTTGCACACCTCTCTAAATGAATGACGCAAGTGACTTAAATCCTTGATAAGTTAGGGAACTTCCTGGGTGATGTTCATCCCAGAACATCCTGGAGCTCACGCCTTTTATCATAGAATTGTAGAGTTGGAAGGGATCCTAAGGGTCATCTAGTCCAACCCCGTGCACCCACTCTGATTTCCCAAGCTCATTGGTCTTCTTGCTAGCAGTGTGTGTAAAAAGATTAAAATAGCTGGACGAGTTGAAGTGAAAATAAATGTGAGCGCCAGCATTCGCAGAGACGTGCTTAAGGGCCCTAGATTAAAATGCTGCTTCCCGTTTCGCCGTTGAATCTGCCCTGCCCCATTTTTAAACGGAGGCCCACGCACACGCGAGTGGAGCGTTTTGACTTGAGCTATAAAAGGAGCCCCCCAAGCGCCGGCTTCTCTGGGGACTGGCGTTCAGAGAAATGTCCGGCAGCTGTGCTGCCACATCTCGTTCCTGTTGCGTCTCTGTAGCGCGAGGGGAGGAGATGCTTTTCCGCTGGAGCAAACCATCCGAGTGGCCCTGTGACGCTGAGCTGGTCCGAAGGGAGGCTCGAAATACACATCAAAGGGAATGTAATCAAGGTCGTCCTAAAAACAAGTAGCAAGCAGTCCTTCCGCAGCCCCTCTCTGCCGCAGAGAGGAACGCTGGCCCCTCGGAAGAACAGACGGCACCCATAGCTGTAGACAGCTGAACCTAAACAATGGATTCATGACTCTGCCTTTATACGGATGAGGCCACAATCGTCTAGTCCAGCCTTACCTCCCCAGACCTGGTGCCCTTCAGGTGCTTTGGAGGACAACTCTGAGCCATGCTGCTACCCCCTCCCCGCATTGCACACCCACGTGATGCTGAGGCTGCTGGGAGTTGTAGTCTTAAAATATCAGGAGGCTACCACATGGGGGGGGGGTGTCCTGGCCTATGCAGGTCAAAGGCTGAGCCAGGGGCCCCTTCTGCATACAGAACATGTCTCAGTCCCCGGCATCAACCAGATATGCTGCTCCTGATAATGGAGGTTCCATTTAGTTGTGACTCGTAGCCACTAGGGACATGGGTCACTCTGTGGTCAAAGCCACTGAGCCTTGGGCTTGCCAATCGGAAGGTCGGTGGTTCGAATCCCCGTGACGGGGTGAACTCCTGTTGCTCAGTCCCTGCTCCTGCCCACCTAGCAGTTCGAAAGCACGTCAAAGTGCAAGTAGATAAATAGATACTGTTCTGGTGGGAAGGTAAGCGGTGTTTCTGTGCGCTGCTCTGGTTCGCCAGAAGCGGCTTAGTCATGCTAGCCACATGACCTGGAAGCTGTACGCCGGCTCCCTCGGCCAATAAAGCGAGATAAACGGTCAGGGGTCCCTTTACCTAGTAGCCACTGACTGACCTCCCTTTTCCATGAATTTGTCTAGCATATTTGGGAGCCTCTGACCCATAAGAACCTTCTGGATTAGGCCTATTGTCCATCCAGGCCAAACCAGGTGCCTATTATGGGAAACCCGCAAACAGGATCTGAACTCGAGTCCTTTCCCCTCTGGTGGTTTCCATCGACTGGCGTTCTGAAGCATGGCTGCCTCAACAGGACACAGAATACAGCCTAGATCAAAGCTTTCCAAACTTTTCATGTTGGCGACACACTTTTTAGACATGCATCATTTCGTGACACAGCCATTCAGTTTTACTAGAAAACCAGAGGTTAAACTAACCCCTGTCCAGCCCCGAGAGGAGAGTGGGGAGCGTTCACACGACACACCTAGATGCCAAAGCACGAACGGGTTGCAACGCGCAGTTTGGAAAGCTCTGGCCTACATGGAGAGCGCTTTTCCATTTGCACCACCACTTTCCCCAGGAAGACCTGTTTAGCACTGAATTGGAGGAAACATCAACTCGCAGAAAAACAAATGCACATTTGGTCCAGTTCAGCGGTGTAGTGCGGGTTTTCGCAGGGGTTGTGGCATCTAGACTGGTGACTGGGAGCGGCTGCCAAGAGCACATAACACCGTTATGACCTACACTGGCTCCCAGTACGTTTCTGAGCACAATTCAAAGTGTTGGTGCTGACCTTTAAAGCCCTAAACAGCCTCGGTCCAGTATACCTGAAGGAGCGTCTCCACCCCCATCGTTCTGCCCGGACACTGAGGTCCAGCTCCGAGGGCCTTCTGGTGGTTCCCTCACTGTGAGAAGCAAAGCTACAGGGAAGCAGGCAGAGGGCCTTCTCGGTAGTGGCACCCGCCCTGTGGAATGCCCTCCCATCAGATGTTAAAGAACTATATGACATTTAGAAGACATTTGAAGGCAACCCTGTTTAGGGAAGTTTTTAATGTTTAAAAGACTATTGTATTTTAATATTCTGTTGGAAGCCACCCAGAGCGGCTGGGGAAAGCCAGCCAGATGGGCGGGGTATAAATTAATTTATTTATTATTATTATTATTATTATTATTATTATTATTATTATTATTATTATTTATTATTATTTATTATTATTATTATTAGACCAGTCTAGCAGCTATACATACACGTGGTCTGCGGTGTGTCTAAAAATACAATTAAAAACCACCCCATATCTATATGCAGCAGTCCACCAAGTGAGCCCTAGGTGGGGGTGCAGGGGCACCCACTGGTCCACGCTTACTGGTAGAGGAGTTTCAGACCAGACAGGTCTCTTCCAGGAGATGCTGCCAGAGAATGAGCCTGGTCCTTTCTGCCTGCGAAGGAGTTGCTCTACCACAGCGTGGCTCTTCCTCTCCATCTCTTAATGTGCTTAATGTGGCCTCCTGGGTGGACTAGTTGATACTGGGATGGGCAGCGATGGACGTAAAGGAGCTTCTCTTCTCAGCCCCACCGGGTCCCTGCGGAGAGGGGCATTTTCAAACATGCCTCAGGGATTTTCCTCACGCTGTGTCCCATAATGAGCAGCAGGGACAATTACAAGCAATGATTGGAAACATACAAAACTATAATAATAATAATATAGATACACTTCAAAGGCCCATATTTAATTAATATGGGTCTTTGAAGTGTATCTATAATATTACTATTTACATTCATTTGCTGTCCCATAAAATAATTTGGCTAGGTTATGTACGTCATTTATCATTCATATAACCCTTTGTTGCAAATGATAAATGACGTGCATAACCTAGACAAATTATTTTGTAGGACAACTAGTAAATATAAATTATAATATGTTAAGAGAGGCTTCAAAGGCCAGATTTCATTGTAAGGGTTTTTGATGAGTCACTATAAGAAAGGGAAAGCAAGTATAAACCCAGATTACTTAAGATTTTTTTTGCTCAGTCCTTTACCATCTTGATGTGTATTTCTACTCTAAAGGGCCTCCTTTGGGCAAGAAGCAAAACCAGATTTCTCTATATTATATACTAGATTTGCACTAGATTGTCGCCGCGCTGTTTCTGAGGTTCTGAAGGCAGCGGGGTGCTGAAGCCTATAGAATTCGTGATGGATTTTGTTTCTTTAAAAGTTTCTGCTGCTCCTGCTGTCAAGGCAAGGGCAGGTGGCTTCACTTGCCAGTGCTCTGTCCCTAATTTGGGGGTTGAGAGGACCAGCTGGCAGTCTTGACCCCACCTGCCTTCCCAAACCAGGTCAAGCCAGACTACTGGGGAGAAAGAGAGATGGGCCAGGCAGAGGGCCTTCTCGGTGGTGGCACCCGCCCTGTGGAACACCCTCCCGTGAGATGTCAAGGAAAAAGAAACAATCTGACTTTTAGAATAAAAAAATCCTTCCTGTAGCACCTTAAAGACCAACTAAGTTAGTTCTTGGTATAAGCTTTCGTGTGCATGCACACTTCTTCAGATACCGAACTTTTAGAAGACATCTGAAGGCAGCCCTGTTTAGGGATGTTTTTAAATTATTATTAGGGACACAGTTGCTAACTGGCTGGCTGTGGATGGTTGGGGCTGCTTTGGTTCCTGGCCCCCACTCTGGAGCTGCCAGGCAGGTAGCAATGCAGGATTCGAGCATCCTTTTCTCACAGTACTTGACCAGATGCCTCCGTGGGGAACCCGCAAGCAGGATCCGAGCCTAAGAGCC